AGCTGACTTCTCGCTTCGAAGAGAGATAAGGAAAACAGTGAAATAGTGTAAAATAGCGAATAAGATGACTTGTAACAATCTATGAAAGTAACAGCTGCTACAAATGAAAATACTGCAGAGGATAGAATATGGAAAAAGCAAATGGGAACGATGTTATATGTCAGAATTCGATCGAAAGTCTCATGATCTGAGAGAGAACCAACGATTCCGTAAAAAGCCCGAACCTATTAATTATGAATGGACTTGACTATTGTAAACTTCTGTTTGCTGAATGCTCGGGAGAGAAAAAGAATACTTCATCGGAAATCGGCCACTTATCGCTCTAGAATATATTGTTTACGAGCTTCCGAGCTTAAAGACACAGTTCACGACGGAAAAGGTTCATGAGACATGAGACAAATCTGTGGCCCCCTCATATACCATATGTTGCGCTGTAAGGTCGGAAAACGGCCTAGATAGGGCGCTATAAAGGCTCGAAGATTATCCCTTGCGTATGCGCGAACGAGTTCCAACGGCATGTCGAGGCAGCACCATTCACAAGGAACCCATGTAGGAAGTTCATAGACTTGTCTTGACCCATGGCGACAGCGAAAGGCAATTCTATACGTTTTGGCCTGGGGTAGCCAGCTTTTTGCGCAAATGCAACAACTGAGATCTCGTCCAGACGTCATGGTAATCTCTTACAACCCCTATCTCACCACTTTTGAGGAATCTTACTTTTCAGCCAGTTCCCTCACTTCTTTTACCAACTATGCACCATTTCCAGCCAATACTTCCACTTCTCAACTCAAAAAGCGTACCTCAAAATTATCGTGTACTGTGACGTCAAGATTGGAACTATTCAATCGTTCCCAAATTGATAATTACCTGTCGTCCAAATATCAGTTTTCAATTTCAGGAAGCTAACATCGAGGTTATATCGAAGCCCTCAACCAGATGAAGAAGTATTGCAGTACACCTTCCGCGGAGAAACGGACTCATCGACAGCTCACGAGATGAAAATCCTTTTTCTGCGGACCACCCAAGGAGGTTCACGAGCTGACCCCAATTTATTGACAGCCACGAAAGCTATCTTCTTACATTCTCTACTGGAACTGCCCTTTTATTTGATTTCTTCTCACCTTTCGGTGATTTATCGCAACCATGCACTTCCTTTTGAAGTGGTGGTCGTTTTGAAAGCAGAACCGAAATATGATGACGCACGTGCCCAGTGTTTTGTATTGGTAGAAAAACTACCAGCACCCTTGGAAAAAGTAGCTCACCCTTTCTAGCCATCAAGTCTTTCCCGCAACGCTTGACTTCTTTGCTCTCCGCAAACATCACTTATCGTTCTCACCATACTTAACCGACGTGCTCCCTCGGCAGGGTTTTGAGCTTTGGCTGTGGTTTTGACTTTGACATTGCTCAAAGCTGCTCAGGATCGCATTCAACGAGAAGTTTGAGGAGGATATAGGCACTGTCCAAGTCTGCTATTTCTGCCACTACCAGCTCGAGTCCAATTCAACTGACGAAATGTCGCGCTTCCACCACCAAAGATAGGCCACTTGAGGGGGAACGCACTTTCCAAGGGAAACCATTCTACAGATGAGATGTTTGAGCCTGTTTCAAAGTTTCAAAGGCTCACAGTAGTTTTGAGGTATCCTTTTTAAGTGAAAAGCGGAAGTTTAGGGTGGTAATAACTCATCGGTCGTGAAGAAAGCGAGAAATTCTCCGATTTCGAGAAGAATAAGGCTCCTCAAAAGTATGGGTCATAGAAGTTCGACGAGATTACCATGACAGAATTAAGGGAGGAAGGGGAAGGGGTACTCGGATAAGATCTCAGTTGTTGCGATTGCGCAAACAACTGACTACATCAAGCCAGAACTGTACAATGCTACCTTCCACTGTAACTAATGCTCATGACACGTTTGATTTCCCTACATTGGCTTCCTTGGTGTAACCTCTGCAGTGACGGTGAAACTCGTCCAAGGATACACACGGTACAAATTTTGGATCTTTATAGCGCCCTATCTGGCAGTTTCCAGGTATGACAGCGCCACATATGGTATACTGGAGCCCTATAAATTCATTCTAGGAGGATATCGCAAAAAAACGTTTTTATCGTGAATTGTGCCTTTAAGTAAGCGGAAAAGCGGAATCTGTAATGAGAATTATATGGATATCATGAAGAAGAGCGGGAATTATGCCATCTATCTCGTCGGCATTATGCGTTCTGCCATCAGTCATCAGCCTCCCTCGAATTCAGTTATATAGCGATTTTCATCTTACGGGTTTTTATGTGTTCTATTCGTAGTTATTCAGTATTCGCTCGGAGATGCACTAAAGGCACATTCAAGAGGATTTTACACTGCCAAATTCACGGAAGGGTGAAATTCGAAGCCACTCAAGAATTGTCGAGGACGCCTTTCTTAGAGCTTTCCATTTATTGCCAGGGGATTGTTCTGAACATTGCACTTGACGCATAACAGCTTTATCTGATCAAATGCCTCACTATACATAGCTCTGGCCAGTTCTATCTATAAGCGTAGAGAGTACATCTAAGCGCCNTTCTTCTGTGAATACGAACAGCCTTAACATCCCCATTGCATACAAAACGCAGTCGAATGTAAGAGAAGTAAAAAAGAAGTTTGGTTAGTACAACATTTTCTAAACTTCCCAGAAAAATGGATAATCCCAACTAGGAAGGAGCTAAGAAACTGGCAAAAGGATAAATCCAATGCATAGACAGCAATGGTTCCGTAGAAATTGCCTGATCGACACGCAACGTCGAAGAACTCCATGATGAAGAATAAGAAATCGAAAACATCCACCTTGGTATGAATCAAGAAAAGAACAATCCCCAGGTAATTCAGAAGCGTTGTTCAATTCAGAAGGGTGTGAGTCTTTCGCAAAAGAGAGTTAGAGGTTGATAGGTTTGTTTAGGTCACTGATTGCTGAGCGTTGTTCATTTTCTGTGGTATGCATCATAATAAGCAAAAGTAGGTCTTTACGATTCATGGTTGAGTAATGTGCATGGCGCATCAAAAAATTGTTTCGATTCGTGAAAGTGAAGGAAAACGCCTTGGTTCAAAGTCCATCATTCTCGGTTTTCGTTGTCAATTGCTTAAGCAGCCAAATGGAAAGATAAAAACATTGACTCGAACATGGATTGGCCTCCGTCGGCTGTTCCATAGTCGACATAAGCAATCAAACGCCTCCGCCATTCTGGATACATAGAAGGGAAGGGTGTGGGAAGGGAACAATTGATTGACCACTAAAAACTGTGCATTTTGGACTTTANTCGGACAGAGAGAGGAAGGAGGGCTTCGACGTGTTCCGAGGTTCGATCATCAGATCATAGAAGTGGTGATGGGACCTCTGATCATTTATAGTGGATTGGGACTAAATGCCTTTCAACAGAGAGGTACTTTTACTCTCAACCTACGTAGGAATCGATTCGTGGTGTGACAATCGCTACAGAGATCTAAATGAGAACCAAATCCACAAATGGCGAATTAAGGAATTAAACGTTGGCATGCGCAGTTTCGGGGAGGAGCTTTTAATGGAGAGTCCAAGGAGCTGTTGTAGCTTTCGATCACTTCCTACCTTCAGACCCAATTGTACATCACTAAAAGCTGTCTCTGTGAAGGAACTGGTGACGATCTTTCCCTAGCAACTGAAGTTCCTCGCACAACTCTGTCGAGGAGACTGGAATAAAGAGGGCTCGAGAGGGCTTCCTTCTCATTTGGATGCTCTCAGAAATTCTCTTTGCTATGGGCAACATCAACGTTTCCGTAGTCCATTTACCATACACCCTTTCATCGTGAGCGGTGTCTTTATAGTAAATGCCAGGGGAGAGATAAGCTGACCAAAAAACCCTTAAAAAAATTGATGGTTATACAGAGAAACACTGAATCGAGCAATACTTCAAACGTCGTTCTGTTGCGAATGAATGAGTCAACCATCGATAGACAGCAGACGATTCCCATCTATATTATTTCCATTTAAGGGAAGAGATTAATGGAATCAAAAAGGTTGAGGGTAATAAATCAAATGTACTTCAAGTAAGAGTAGCACTGATTAGACCCAACACTGTGCTAATGAGTTAGGGAAACTTGAAAGAAGGAATGCTGAGGAAACCACGATTTTCCACATGAACGCATGGAATATTCAACAGCTGATTAGAGAATGAGCACTGCTGCGAGAAGGTGTCATGAGAAATTTGACTGAATACTCTGACTTTGCTGTGGGAAGGGTAAGGGTATTGTGGGGGGAACCAGAAGCTCAATATCGTCCTCATTGCTTGAGGTACGATTGAAAGTGATGTGATCAGCATTTATCCTGGGATGCGGGCACATATTCTACTTTTACATAGGAATAAAGAGGCACTGGGAGACTTATCCGGGTTATGCAACAGTCTGAGGGGGCCAGCTATTTTTTTGATCTTACTTTTTGGGGTTATTACACCTACGAGATCACCTACGGAACTTCAAAATCCCACAACCAAAAATGAGATCTAAGTCATTAGTTTGTGAGAGATTTGTTTTTCCTTGACNGGGAGTGCTGATAGGAAGGTGAGGGGGAGAGGGGTCTCGGTAGTGTAGGGTAAAGAGCACCATGCTCGGTAAGCACAAGTGCGGATTCGGGTCCGAGCGAAGTTTTGCCTATAAATCGCCATCTTTGTGGAGATCAGTATTTTTCGAAAGGGACTTCATAGCAAGAATACGATGTAACTAGGATAGGAGGTGAAATTTTCCTAGACGATCGCTAGACGCTGTACTTTTGTCCACTGCACTATCTCCACCTGAATATTTTAACAGAAAAGCAAACACGCAACTGCTTACGGAGGACAAGTGGGACTGGGTGACGGGCACTTAGCAAAGGTTGAAAGAATGAGAGAATATTTGAAGTAAAATGAAGTCGGGTTTGTCAAATGAGTGGATTTCTTGCCGGACTTCTTTTCCTTCAACTGTTGTTTACAATCGCTGGTCAAAGCACGTCCCCCACAACGAGCCTACATGGTGAACACCTTGATGCCACAGAAATAATTGGTTCTATAAGGGCTGTAATTCAAAACATCAGCTTCAATGCACGTGGGCAATGTAACTAGGTAGTGACATGAAATGATGTGCATGAAAAAAGAAATCCTCATCGTAACGATCATGGCGGAAGAAATAAAACTTGGAAAAACAATGTTATTACCTGTGGAAGGGCATGAAAAAAAACATGGAGAACAGCTATCGAAAGTGCCTTGACCACTTACACAGCAGGCCAAAGGGCCGGTTGAAACGAGCTACTCACTGGCTCATTCATTTTCTTGAACCCTGATCTCACCAGTGTTGATAAAGTAAGTTGAAAGAGATCTTAGTGGTATCTTTCCCACATTAGCGGACTTTTTAGCGGTCTCCTTGCTTTTTACGACTTTCCGTTTGAAGGTTGTCTGGCATGACATGACTCTACATCGTTACCCAACTTCTGGTATCAAATGAGAACTTCCAAGTTTGTATTCTCTGCTGGTCGGACTCCACGAGGATTAGATCAGACGTTCCGGCATAGCAGAGATGTGAAGCTTCAACAGACGGCAAAGCGGAATGCATTGGCTTTCCCATGTTCTTTACCCGGTGAACTCTACTTTTCAGTGGTTCAAAACAAGAGCGGGAGAATTACCAAAACCAAAGGAAAGGAGCGGGTGAAGAGTGAAGGTGAGGAGTGAAACAACTTGTGGACTCCGAGATCACTCAGCAACAAAGGAAACCCTGTTTGTAGCAATAAATGGTAAATCGTAGTAATAAAAAAAGAAAGGACTGGCACTATTACTACGTACTCATCCAGCTCGCTTTCTAGTGCTACAAAAAGGACCTCATTAATCGGTGAGTGGTCTTGGACCTCTACAAGTTTTTTCAACAGGTCCTCTCGCTTTGAGCCGATGCTTATCGGTCAGTAGTGATATCGCCATGATGGTGAACGAAAAAATGTAAAATTGAAAAGAGAATGGAAACGATCTCACTAAAACCGAGATCTGGTCCAGATAAGTGCACTGGACTACTTATAAACATCATAGTAGGCAGTAAAAAATGGCAAGACTCCTGACGTGAGTTCTTCAAACACGTCCCATGTCACAAGCACCTGTTCTTCTTTTTTCAACAGAGCATGGAAATGATGTCATCATGATTCAGCTCACAGATACGTTTTCTGAATTGAGGTGGTGAAGGGTATGGGGTCACGTCGTTGTGAGTCACTCCTTGGAATTGATCCCTCGGCCTAAAGCTTTTTCACAGCCAGTGCACATTCGGTAGCACACTGTAAATCTTGTGCCATGGGTTAAGCGTAGGTAGCCCCGTAATATCTCTGTGTGTTCGTGCCTGTGCATTTCTCACTTGAAATGACCGTTTTCATCTAGGATCCTTCCCCAGCAAGTCTCGAATGGACTGCTTCGAAGTTGATGCTGTGTGCACCTACCCTGACAAAAAACGGGTCTCCTCTGTAATTGCTTCGTTCGACGGCATTGCCCCAACAAAAACGCCTTCTAGCAATTTTCTGTATCAGCGACTAAGATCTAACCGAATAGATAGCATTCTGTCGTTACTTGCCAGAAATGCAAAGAACACTCACAGGCGTGGTGGGTAGGAGTGACCTGGCGGGGGGGGGGGGGGGGGGGGNCAAGACCCATCATGAGCGCATAGAAGTGCATCGCGTGTGTGCGTGTGAGAGAGTTTGTTTTTGTGCTACTCGAATCAATCGCCTTACGTCTTAAGCAGCTCGTCGCCTTCGAGATACTCAACAAAGACAACGGGCTAACCACTCATCTCATCGTATCCACCAACGAACTGCACTGGGAAAAACGGCGTTTCGCGAACTCTGGTAGTGCTCTGGGCGACATTCACCAGAATCACGGAACAATCAGAGACAGCTCAAAAACGCCACTCAAAGCCAACTTCGCTACACTTGGGGGAATTCTCTCCATACAAAGGGGGGTGTAAGTATAATGTCAGTAAATTTCAACGTAAAAGTGACAATGTGAATATACGAAAAGTATAGTTAATGAAGGTTACACTGTAGAACAGATGAATGTAAACAGAATATGTTGAAAGACGACATGCTTGCCAAGCAATCAATTCCCTTGAAACGTCCGAATCAGAGGGGAGAATCTAGTAAAACGCCTCAAATGGAGGAAAGGGGAGGGGCGACGGCAAGTGAATTGGGGAGAGACGGCGACGCTCGACCCTGTGGGCGCAGTTCCCCATCTTTGATGCGAGTGTCATCGCCATGCACTCGGCACCGTCCGTCAGCCGGGCGCTCCAAGGTCATCATCGCACCCCATCGCTGTGTGATCGAGCAAGCGTAAATGATTTACGTCAAGAAACCAGCGCTGGCATTGGCAGAAAGGCGCCGGGGCGGATTGCAGCGGATGTTGCCGTCTTGTCAGGGTAGTCAGAAGCTTTTAGCATTAACACATCAAGAAAAGAGCAAAGAGCATGTGCACTGAATGGCAATGACGCGGTGTTGCGTCGCGGCGGAACCCGTTAGCCTCTTTTCAGACGTAATTTGATTGTCACAAGGTGACTTCGGGAACCACGCCTCTTCACATCCGTCATCAAGAATCCGATGATGTTGAATGGCAGCTTGATGAGGAACGGGGGAACGGAATGTAGTCGAATCGAGCGGCAACGGGCTAAGGAGGTTGTTAGTGCAAATGGAAGTAGACTTACAACTTTCTCGTCAATATCTTGTGATGGCTACAAAGTTCATTTCCAAATTTTGACTTCCTGTTTGTTGTTCTCTCTCATTTCTGCCTGTTGAGGAGGGAGATTACCAATATCTACAGGATGTTGACGATGCCCATTAGAGCTCCATCTTTAGTACCAAATGAAGAAAGCATGGGCAAACTAGCCAGAGTCTCTTCCAGTGATGCCTTTTTTGGTTGTGAAAGGAACTAAGTGGCATTTGTCCGCTGTTCCGAACAAGCTGCTATTCAAGAGTTGCTGATTCACAATGCCTGATTGATGAGATGAAAACGCTGACGAATTCCCACGACAAATAAACTCTCTAACAACTGCATGCCATGCAAATCAATCGCAAGTTCCATCCTGGCCCCCAAAGAGAAGCAAGACAGCGGAGAAATTGGAGGCAAAGGAAAGGTCATATCTAAATCTTCAAATCTAAGGTCATTTCTAAAAAACCATCAAGAACATGGTGCTACGGTGGGATTGGCACTATTTCTGACTGGGACGATCAGCCCAACTTAGGCCTCTATTGCTCTAAAAACAAATGGGTCAAGAATGAAAGTTGGCTACAGCTGAGATTGCACTTTATTGCGCCATGCCTCATACTTCTTCCGGGAATTTATTGGTTTATTGGTACAATCCAGTTTCTCTGACCTTACTATCGCAATTCTGCTCGAAGCAAAACGGTTTTCGAAATATTTATGTCAAGGAGACAGTCTTTTCATTGACATAGCATTATGCATATTGGAGGTCTTGCTCAATTAATACGAAAGTATGGAAGATGTTTAAGCCTGACAAGGAGCGAGAACCGTCCAAAGGGAAAAAATACGAGAATTGGACAATTATGGCTTTTGGAAAAAGATGGGAATTCCACAGGCTGTTCATTGGATTCTTCACCCTCTAGCCCTCGTCTGACAACAAATTGTAATATTAGCTAATTAACATGCTAAAAATCTAGATTCTTACTTGCCACCTGTCCGTGGAACGCCCCATCGCAAAATCAGAAATTGCGCCACGGTTGTAGTTGGAAGCTATTGTGAACCCTTCAGGAAGGTTATTTCGGAGCAACATTGATTAGAGGTGATATGAAGGCATCAAAGACGTCAACTCTTCATACGAAAAAACTGGAGTGAAAATCAATCCA